CCCCCCCCCACCGAGCCCGCTGCTCCCATCACTGAGGCTATCAATCACCCAACATGTTCGTCTCGACGCTAAGGTCGGTCAGTCTGGTGCTGGCCTTACCGCTAAGCCCGCTGGACCTACTCAGCCCATCTATGAGCACGTCCTTAAACCCACTTCCGAGTCCGCTGAGCTCAAGCCTGGCTTCGAGGCTGCCGTCAAAGAGAACTTGAGTGGATTCTCCAGCTCTGAGCATGCTGCTCCGAAAGATTCTTCTTCATCTCCAGTCGGGCCTATTCTCACTGATTCTCCTGTTGCCGAGCCTGCTGGACCTACTGAGCCCACTTCCTAGTAATCAGACGGGGATTGCTCCAGTCAAATGGTAGCATAGTGGGAAACCCACGCGTGGCGCCTGTTCTCGCTTTCTACTATGTAAAGCTTCATCTCATCGCCAAGGACCTTATCATTTGCGACGCTGCTAAGGGGAAATGCATTTACTTCTTTGGCTCTTGCGGCGCGATCGATCGTGAGATTCCAACCAAGGGGATCAACCTCGGCGATGTTATCAAGGCCCGCTGCGCGGAATGTACTCCCCGTAAGCATCAAGTCGGCAACGGCCTCGGCGCTCAGCAGATCCTCGCATCAAACCTGCCGTCTTCGACCTGTCTGCTCCCCGTCCTTCAATTGGTCTAGTTAGAATATGTCTTGGTTATCATGGGAAAAAAAAAGAAGCAAACGCTGGGATTACTTGTTCGGGGAGGGCATACGATAAAAAGGAAGGACCTCAACCGCACCCGCGTCTGTATATTGATCTATAAAATGCTATGTGGCCATCCCACTTTCCATAGAGTCAAATCTCACATACATACTTGTCGTGACTCGAACATTTAGAGTTGTATGACTTGTCGACGTGATAGCTCGACGTTGCTTGAGTTGTGGCGACAGCGTTAGAACATCTGATGACCGAATACCAGTAGAGGTTTATGGTATGAGTTAGTCCAGTGTCTGGTGGCTTATTTATTATACCGAGTTATCGCGTAAACTTCACAAGGCAGGTGATTATACAGAAAGGCACATTCAGCAGCATTATTCCATTCCATTTCCTCTACCTATGCCTTTTTGGCAGCCTCATCCTTCGCCTTGCCCTTGCCCTTGTTCGGCTTACAATCCACCACCGCCACGCGCCCCGCAGCAACAAGCGACTTGTGAACCTCCTTCAGCATCGTAGCCTTCTGAAACGACACCTCGCCAGTGGGTGTCTCCGTCCTTTGTGCCTTGACTTTGCCCTTGTAGTCCACCGTGTCGATGTCACTGAAGATGACGAGAGCACACTTGTGTCGACTCAACATAACGTTGAGTCGACGCTCGTCCGAGGTGAAGCCAGCACCGACGCCGCGGGTAGTCGATGTAATAACGACAACCATATCTGCCTCCTGACCTTGGATGGCATCGACGGTGGAGGGCGGGCGCATGTCCTTCAGGACCTCGTATTCTCGCTTCTTATAGAAGCTTTCGATGGCATCGATCATAGCAGAGTATGGGGCGATGATGAGAATATCGGCAGGATTAACCTGCTTGGTCTTGACGAACTCGGCAAGGAAGTTGAAGGCGACCTTGATCTGGTCGATATTCTTCCTGGTGCGCGTCACGGGATCCACGTGACAGAATGAGTTCCGGCAGTCGACGAACAAAGGAGAGAGGGTGCCGCGCTTTCCATCAGGCTTTGGAGGCTTGACGGCGGGAAACTTGACCCGGATGAACTCTTCCAATACGTGGCCGAGATGGTGAGAGGCGAGCTCGACGTCGGCACCCGCGCCGTAGGTACAGGCGACATCTTTGTAGACCGATTTGCGGCAGAGCTCGAACTGCCCTCTTGCCAAGCGCAGTTGAGTACGCAGACGGTAGACGGGCCAACCCATCCCCTTGATGAACTCAAGAGGCGAGATTACGCCGTCCGGGCCGAAACGGTTGACATATATGCCCTCTTCCTGATCTTCCAAGGTCATCACCACGGGAGCCAGCTGCTTCTCATCGCCAGCGAGCAGACAAGGGAGGAGAGTGTTTCCCCAGACAGAGCATAGATCGGCACGAGTGATGTTGCCAGCCTCGTCGATGGCGATGCCGCGGGCCTGGAGCTTCCACCTGTGGAGTATGTCCTCGGTGTGCGCGAGGGCGGGAAGGGTGCAGAGGATGTCAGCAGCTTCAACGATGCGCTGGACCAGGTCCTCGAGCTCAGCCTTGCCAACAGTCTCACCGTTGTTGGCGTACTCTTCCCAAGTGATCTTACCGGAAACCCGATCACGGAGGCGAGCTAGGCCGCTGCTCTCAGCCAAAGACTTGTGGAGCTCGTGGAGCTTGATGCTGTCATCCTCATGGAGCAGGCGGACATCAGAACCGAGACAGACGAGGAGCCAGTAAGCAGCCGACAGATGCAGCTTCCACTTCGACCTGAGACCCCATGTGCCAACTGGTGCAGCATCGTCGCCAAGGTCGGGCTTCTCGAGGAGGTTCTTGAAGGCAGCAACCTCATCGCGGAGTTTGTGGCCACGGACGACCAGAGCTCGGTGCAGACGGTCAACTGGCTGCTTGCCGGAGTTTTACTTTGCGGTAACGCGACAAGTAACAACGTCGATGCGAGCACACAGGTTGTTGACTGCAACATGCGTGGGCCCGGAGCCGAGGATGCGACCGACACTGGCTGCCATACCGAGAGTCGCGAGAGCAACGGCAGTGGTCTTGCCAAAACCAGGACCCTGTTTCACTTGTCAGTTGAGGTGCTTGAACTTATCATTGGGATAATACTTACAGCCGTGATGAGACCCAGACCAAGGGGGCAGTTGCTGAGGTACCGTCGGAAGCGTTCGCGGTCGACCTCGAGGGCTTCGGTCATCAGAGCGTCGATCCACTCTGCGTTGGGGCCACGAAGAAGGTTGACAGATGGCAGGGTCTGAAGGCGCATACGCTTGCCTTGGTTGTTGATACCCATCTGAGCCATGTCGTCCTCGAGCTGTTCCATGCCGCCGGGGGCAACCATCGTCTTCCAGAAACCATCGCCACGCATGAGGTCCCGGTGGAGGCTCATCACCAACTTCTCACGGTCGGAGCGAGGCTTTGAGTCCTCGGGGCTTTCACCACGAATGAGACTGGTAGGGGTAGCGGTGGGGAGGAATTCACAGACGGCTTCGACCTTGCGTTCGGTCTCCTGCAGCTGTAGGTCCCAGTCGAGCGTAACGTTATTCTAGCACGCTTTGCCAGCCTTGTCAGCCTCCGAGCGGTTCTTGAACTCCTTGGGTTCTACTTGAGGTGCCTTCGGGGGGATGACCTCCAGAACAAGTTCGTCTTCCTCATCGGTGAGAGGGTGATCGTTCAAGACTTCCAGAGACTCGGGAAACTCGCGGATGCGAGCCTTCCATCCCTCAGGCTCACCTTCGTCTCTGTCGTAGATCATGAGCTTGACTTGGAAGTCCTTGGTGAGACGCGCCCATGCCTTCGCGAAGTGGGTGAAGAAGCCCTTGCCCATGGCCACGATGACGTAATATCGTGTCGATTGCTTGAGGGTCGTTGGCTTCTTGACGAAGTATGCAGCACGCTTCTCTTTGTCCATCTCGAGGCAATCTCGGTGAAGCCACATGATGTCCTGGACAAGACTCTGGGTGAGAGCGGCCACGTGGTGCCCATCGGTAGGGTAGTTCCAAGAACCCTCGACTTGTCCGCCTTTGATCTCGCTGAGCTGCTTCATGTACCTCTCCAAGTCCCAGGAGTGGATGTCACCATAGCCGTAGTCGAAATTGGCTGGTAGGCTGGCCACGTCCATCTTGTCTTGCAACGCAGGATGAGGATCGGAGACGATGAAGGAGAAGTGCTCCTGCTGAAGAAGACCGAGGAGCGTCTTGCCGCCGATGACGTGGGCCGAATCTGGGTGTTGAAGCCACTCGTGCGCAGGGTGACTTGCGTTGGCGTATGGTAACCCGAATCCCTCTACAGAGACTTCGGCGCCTTTCTTGAGAGTAACTTCAACCCAGGGCATTGTCTTTTTGGCCTTCGGAAGCTTGGAGATCTCTTCTTGAGTTGCGGCCCGGAAACTGATCTCGATCTCATGAGGGAACTTGACTTTGAGCCTTCGGAACCCGCATGGAATTGGCGAGCGAGATTGGTAGTCAACTAAGAAGACTGTTAGCTTTGTATATGGAGATGTTCGCAGTTCAGGCAAGCTGTGATTGGAATGAACTTACCTGTATGACACTGTCCGAAGCCTTCGTCCTCATTCGAAGTGGCAAGAGGGAAGTCGATAAAGACTCCGAAATACTGCTCAATAGTCGCAGCTCGCCGGGTGATAAGCTTTGTCTCGATATCCGAGACGCCGAACGTTTTTCCACCAAAGAGTTCCTCGCCGATCACGACAGCACACGGTCCGAACGCTGTCGGGGGAACTTTGGGCTTGGCATCGGAGGGTGCCTTGGAAGCCTTGGTGTTCTTGCCAGCCTTGGGTTTGGAGGCGGCGGCGGAGGAGGAGGAGGGAGCAGATGGAGCGGATTGCTTCTGCTGGTTATCGGTGCCCTTAGGGCCGGAGGAGGTGGGTTGAGACATGACGGATTCTCAACGCGAGGGGGGGAGGGGGGAAACACAACAAGGAATC